GAATTCTGGGAGTTGAAGTCCACACGTCTTAAAGTTGCTGAGGTTGAGAAACACTGCTCTAATCAAAGAAGTCAGTTTCTCCAGCAGGAAGCTTTTTCGCTTGGAGCACCGCCATTGTTCACACAGTATTGCCATGATGATGATGATGATGATGATGATGATGATGATGATGATGACGATGATCATCATCGTCGTCGTCATCATCATAATCTGTCCTCCTCCACCTCCTCTTCTCCACCATCTCAACAGGTGAGAGTACCTGGCTGATTCTGTCCACTCCCCCCGCAGCCCCAGAGCCAATATGGGGTGAGGGTGAAGATGCTGGACTAGCAGTGGGGAGACCCAGATTGTGGTCTCCCTTCAGCCATGGAAGCTTCCGGGGGACTCTGGATCCCCCCTTCCATGTTCGATCCGGATGTCATTGCAGGAAAAATAGGAGGAAGAACCCTTATATGCACTACTTTGCCCTTCAATCATTTTTCAATGCTAGAAGGTCCACATGTGCGTGGAGCAGGGTTTCTCAACTTTGGCAACTGGAAGCTGTGTGGACTTCAACTCCCAGAATTCCCCAGCCCTGGTGTGGAGGGTTCTAACGATCCATCTGATCCCTGAAGTGAATTGTATATTAACAGGTGAGGCCTGGAGAAAGGAAAAGCAAAGCTAAAACTGAACCCAGCAAGTTGCAGACGTGTCCTGGAAAGGACGCAGGCTCAGCTCACCATCTTCTCCTGACCCTGACGGGGAAAGTGGTTGTGGAAACTGAACGTCGAGCGAGTCAAGGGAAGAAAGACCCCCCCCCCGCTCCACCTGTCCCTTTCCTTTGCTGCTCTGGCCAGCCGGGGGATGGATGGGGAGGCGCGAGAGCCAAGTAGCGGCGAGAACAGGAAGTCGTGGCTTCCCGTGTAGAAATCGAGGCGTAGCCAGGCAGGGCTGAGAGGCAGCGGAAGCAGCCGTAGGAGAAGCTCTCAAAGCAACCGTCTAAATGAGCTGAGGGGGAAGAAGGCCAGACGCCAGCAAAGCCAGAGCAAACATGAAGGGGGTGACGAGGCGCTGCCGGAAACTGCCAGCGATGTGAACACAAGGGGACCAGACAGGTGAGGGGTGGGGGGCTGACAGGCCACAGAGAGTGGCTTCATCCAGTTGACTTTGCTTATAGGCAAGGAGCTCTCCTGCTTAGGAAGTGCCTGTCCAGCCGAGAGGGTCTCAGGAGGCCTCCTGACCTGGGACCTTAGACCGCTGCTCCAACCTGCCGCCTTCCAGATATTCGGGGTACAGCCCCATCCTTCCAAGCCAAGGGACTAGTCATGCCAGACCTGTGAAGACCTGATTCTTCCACCAAGCATTGGGCTAGGATGGGGGGTGAGCTGTGATGGGGGGCCGGGTACCTTCGCTTTTAACCACGTTTTATGGATTGGGTGAGCTGCCGAGAGACACCGGGAGATAGGCAGCCGTATAAATCCTGTAAGTAAGTGAATAATGAATACGTAAATAAAACCAGATTGTGGAAGACTGGCTGAGAGAGGACTCCCTAGACAGGGTGGACCACAGCCCCCAGAATTCCCAAGTCAACCAGGAATTCTGGGAGTTGTGCCCCAACACATGGGGGAGATCAGACTGGAGAAAGTTGGCATAGTCAGTCCTACTGCACTGGAAGTTTTTACTGCAAATGCTTGCACAGAGAGTCAAAGAGGCAGATGTTGTGGTATTTGGCTGTGTCTAGTTGTGGATCTTTATGAACCAGGTTGCTAATGCGAGGAAAGAAAAGCTGGGCCAAATTGGGAACATGGTATGTAGGAACTGGGGCTTGACATCTTTGCCCCATCATCAAATCTGGGCCATCTCGTGCCTCCAGTTTATAAAGGAGAGAAAATACTACAGTACTGTCACATGCTAGTTGGGAGGAAGGCTTGATTTAATCAGATTGAGGGCAAAGAGCTAAATACCTCCACCCACAGACTTTGATCCGACTAAACGTAAAGCTGAATCATCATCATTATCACTGCAATAAGGCTAAACAAGCCACTAGCTTGTCCCCGGTGAAATACACATTTGTGCAATTGTCACGGCATAAGCTACAGGTGGCAGGGAGGTTGTGATTTTTCTTATACTGGGAGCGAAGCAGAGAATTCTGGATTTTAGGGCTCAGAATCTTGGAAATGTATGCTGAATGCCACCTCAAGTAAGATAATTTATGAATCTCCCCTCCCAAAAGAATTGCTTGTTGCTATTGTTAAGATCAGAGTGATTCTGAACACGTTCAGAAAACATTTCACTTTCATAAAAATAAGGCAGTAAAAATGCAAATATTTTCTGGCCAGGATGGCTGATGTGTGTGGCTGTTTGGGGTATCTTAAAGAGAACGCAAGGGTGATAGGCATGGGAGTCTTCCCGAAATCCTACTTTCTTGTCATCCTACACACCCCTTGGATTACAGTCCCTGTGTACACAGCCAGCACGGCCATTTGAGTGAATATCCTTGATGTTGTAATCCATCAGATCCAGACAGAGCTAGATTGAGGAAGTCCTGCTTGAGTGCAAATCCCTAATGTGAGCAAAACAACAGAATCCAGGCCACAAAGTGGACCAACAGCTGGTTTGGGGAAGAACTGAAGATTTGCAAAACAAATCATCCCTCTATAAAAAAAGAAAAAAAGGGGGGGAGGGAGAGTTTAACTGGAGGAAAAACACTTTAAAAATCCTGTCCCATTAAGATGAGTCTTAAACTAGCAAGAGGAAAAAGGGAATTGAACAGATTATCATAGAAGGGGTACTGTATTTCTGGGGCACTGTTGATTTGCAGGAATATTTTATACTGCAACATTTTGCTGCTGTTCTCCTTTTTATGATCTCTTCTATCCTGGCCACTGGCCATATTGCAGGCAATGGTTTCTGCGAATGAAAAGAGGGTGAGAGAGAAGAAGGTAGGCAGTTTGCAGAGAACCGCATGTTGTGTATGTTCAGAGTACAGATAGCCCTTGTTTAACCACACGGATTGGGACTGAAAACTCCATCGTTAAGTGACACAGTCGTTAAGTTGGAAAACCACTTGGTCCCACCGCTTAGCAGCGGTAGTTCCAGCAGTCCCTGTTGCCGTGGTTAAATGCGGACCGCACAAGTCGTTAAGCGAGGACCTCATGTGACCGCAGCTTCCAATTTCCTGCCGGCTTCCCCATAGATTGCTTGTGGGAAGCTAGCAAGAAAGGTTGCAAATTGCATCATATGACTGCAGCTCGCTGCAACAGTTGTAAGGATGAGGTCTGGTCATGACTACCACTCGTTCAGTGCCATCATCGTAAGTTTGTTCGCTGAACAAGTGGTCGTTAAACAAGGACCAGCTGTAAAACTGTTTCATTTGTCTCAATGCGTAACACGTTTCAAGTGTCTTTGAAGCGTCGATACACACACATTTTATTTATTTATTTATTTATTTATATTTCAAATTTGTCACTGCCCATCTCACTGCGGGGTGACTCTGGGCGCACACACACACACACACCAAAAGTCAGGCCCCACAGACAATTTATTACATAAATGACATTAAATATTCCACTTAGCCATTTTCTTCTGAGCATTTCCTTACTTGTTTGATGCATGAACTCTGAGCATTCTTGAGTAACCTTTTTTCTCCAAAAAAAATTAATTATTAATTAATAAAGCATATTGTTATGATGATTATTTATTACATTTATTAGCTTCCCAACTCCAGTGGACTCTGGGCAGCATTCGAAATTAGAGAAAACATGAAAACGGCTAAAAGCATTGAATCAAACAGACAGCTCAGATTAAACTCATCTAATAGACAGCAAAAAATAAAAGCAGGGGTCATTGAACAAATAATACGCAAATAATAAACATACTGTGACTGGCTTATGGGGCCTGGCTTTTGGTACACCACACATACACACATACAAACATGCATACATACTTAGACACCCACACAGCATGTTGTGACTCAACCTAGAACCACAGATGGAACTGAAAGTCCTTGTTTTACATGTTTAGTTCTTAACTAGAGAGAAGAGGCAGGACAGGAATCAGGCTGAAAAACTGTGAGTCCAAGCAACAGGTAGACGGCCACTAGCCTAGGATGCTTTACAGTACTTGGGATTCCAGCATGCCAAAGGAGTGGATGCTCTCAGTGGCCCTTCTAGCCCTAGACGTCTATGGAAAAACCTTCGGAGGCTCGGCATCACTAAGACAGAAGGTCCGCAATGGCCGCTTACCCAACCGATGCTGAAATCTCTTCTTCTGTGCCAGTCTTTCTCAATCTCAGCAACTTTAAGAGGGGCGGACTTCAACTCCCAGGATTCCCCAGCCAGCATATTTTAAAATTGCTGAGATTGAGAACAACCGTTCTGTTCATTTATTAAAGCTAGAGAAGCCCCGATTTCATTCCGCCCAACCCCTCCAGACTTGGGAGCTCATCCTTTTTCACCCTTCAGGGCTCCTCCATCTTTAAAAACTGCTAAAATGCATTTCCATCCAAAGAAAAGGATTATATAGTGAACATCTGATCCTAGGATATCTCTTAACTATGCAAGAGTGCACGAAGAATGGGGCAAAACACGTAAGCCAGTGTTGTCCAAACTTGGCCACTTTAAGATGAGTGGACTTCAACTCCCAGAATTCCCCAGCCAGCCAGCCTGTCCCATTAA